GTGAGTTGGTACAAAGTTATGTTTCATCCCAGAGATGATTGCATTGCCACAGATGCTAAAATGCCTTCGGTTTTGTAAATTGAATATATGAAAAAACCTGCATGGACATACTGTGTGTGCATCTGCCTGGAATACAATCATTTCAGCTTGGAATTATGCTGTAATAGTACTTCTGATTTCATATTTATGGGGTAGATTTGAAATAGCTTCAGTTAAAGTAAATCCAATTTTGAACGAATGAGGTAAAGTGAAAGCTTGAATATGCTAACTTGAGTAACTACATGAGATGTCTCATCAATTCTCCTGGAGGTATTTTAGTCATTGGAAGTTAATCATTACCTGAAATTGTGTGAAAAACCTACTCAAAGCCAGCCTACAACATAGTGTTATGTTGGGGAAGCAATGCAGACACTCAGTCATAGCTGTCAGTTATTTATTATACTTCTGTCAGTTATGATGTGATTCTTTAAAAAAATCATTTTTGCTTTTGATTTATAGTGAGATGCTGATCTGGTGGGTGAGACTCTCTCAATTAAAGCAAGATCCTGCCCACCCTAATCTGGGGAGACATTTGAGTGTCTAACTACCATAATGTTATTGCAAAATTTTAAAGCAAAAATGTACCTAAGGGTGACGAGGTTAATGAGTGAACATTAACTTAGAAGAGGGATCTGAATGCCCTTTTACCCCAGAGAATGGTAGCTGTGCTCAGTAATGTCTGAGAGCAACAGCAGAGACCAAGGAAGAATTCAAGCAGGTCAAATACTCATCTTGTGGTTGCACCAGGGGAGCGTGCCAAGCCATGAGCATGGTGCTAAGCAGACCTCCAGGGAACACCAAACACAGGTCTTGGGCTAACACACAGGAGGTGCCTCACTGTGTTTTCTATAGAAACAGTCAAGAGCAAAGTGATTCTTAACGTGGGCACATCAGGTGCTTACTGCTGCACAGAAGAAATCTGAACCAGAAAAGCATCAATCCAAAGCATCATTTGTTCATTGAATTCTTCAGCTGTCTTTCTAGACTTTGAAGCTAGGGAAGTTCCTTTCTTATTCTGTAGAGTGTGAACTTTCCCGCATGTAGGAAAAACACAAATGCTCTCTTCTGCCCGTGTCATGTTAACCTGAAGATCAAAGGGGATGGGTACATGACCTACAAGTCAAAATCATAGTAACAATTTCAAGCAAGATTATCTAATAAATAATGCCAGCAGTGGATTGAATATGCTAACAATGTCTTGTGGAAAGTACCTATTTAACATGTTCTCATGATGTCTTCAATTTCTATCTCGTTCTGTGAAAGTTGTTCAGTATTTACAGTTCTAAACATATACAAAAGCAAACAAAAGATTGCAGTTATTTATTCAGACTGTGCTGACACACACAATACTTGCAGTCACATTACTGATAAAACCACTCATGTTTACTACATCTTCTACTTCATCAGTTTGCTCCCTCAGCATAATAAAGCCTACCTTTCCCTCATCCTGAGCTGATATTTATGTTCTCATGTGTTCCCATCTGATTCATCCTTGCTGTTTTTATAGGAGCATTTTCTTTTCTTCTCCTGCTGCCTCAAAAAAACCCTCTTAGATTTATTTGCTATGCTTGTGTGTTGAGTAACAATAGTTCGATCTAGCTCATGCTTCTGAACTTACGTATTAACGAATCTTTCAGGACTTGGCCTTTTGCTTGCATTCTTCTAAGTTCACAGTCTTCCTAGTATATAATTTTCCTTATGATCCTGATACTGTGCTTTTTCTGTTGTTACAGTGACACTTGAGGAAGATTGTTCCTTGGAAGAAAGCAACTGGTCAAGGCTCAGGGTCAGACAGAGCATCACGAGCATCACGAGCATCACAAGCATCACTTGGGCAGCCTTCCTGGCTGAAGAGATTCCTTAGTGCAGCTCTTGTGGGAGAAATCTGACAAACGTTTTTCTGTTTACAATGTCTGTTAATACTCTGAATGCACAGGCATCATGAAGACCTTGATTCAGTTCTACAAAGACAGCTGGTAAATATTGCCAGAAAAATAACAGTCAGGAGCAGAGGGTTTCCAAATCTGAGCCTGAAAGCCTGGGTTGAGGACAGGCAAGCACAGGAGACATGGAAACCAGGAAAAAGGTCAGAGAGGGAGCAAAGCTTGCTAAAGCTGATTTTAAACAACCATTTGAGGTATGGTCTGTGGTTTTAATATCCATTGCCACTGGATGAGATGAACTGCAGCTAATGGCACTATGGGACTGAAGAGGGCAAGAAGCATCTTCTAGGAATTATAAAGAAAGATCATTGTTACAAGTAGGTTTTCTGTCCTGAGGAGAGACAGCAGCATTTGCAGTCCTACCCTCCAGATGGTTCTGCTAAGAGAAGAAAAAACAGTCTCTATATGACCTTAATAAGGCACCTCTGCAGACACAGCCCAGAGGCTTTATCACACAAGTGGTGTTCCTAGGTAGTCTGGCAAGGTCTCATTTCAGCGGCAGCTAGCACTAAATGAGACCTCATTTTGATCAGGCTCTACCTCCCCGCTGACAAGCCTGCAAATGGACAAGTATTGCTTTGTCACAGCCTTTAGGCTGTCTGGGTGCCAGCAATGGGAAACAAACCCTTAAGGAGAAACCTACCCTCAGTTTTGCACTTCTGTGCCCCAAACAAAAGGATGAGAACTGTTGCAAGGGCAGCAATGCTCCTGCTCTGCCTGTTTGCTGAACCCACCCCAGCTGCTTCAGTTGTTACTGAAGAAAACTGCTAGGCAAGCATATGGGAAAATCTGATGCATTAGTTTTTGTTCTCTTATACGTAGGATAACAGAGAACAAGTTGGATGAGAGTTTTGAATGCCAATGAGATGCTGACCAGGTCACATAAGTCTGATTTAAGAGGGGTATTCCTATCCTCCTAAACTCTCAAAAATGAAATCTTGCTAATGACAGAACAGACATCTTGGGACTTTCCCCAAGCCCCTTCACTCTTAACAGATAGTGTGAATGTTTTAATTAAAACTTTGACAGAGAAGTAGATCAGTTCTACTCTATCATTTTCCTTTCATGGCAAGCTGATGCAGATTGCCAGGTTGATGAGATATATCAATATTATATGACACACCATGTGTCAGGCTGAACACATTAAAGGCTGATATCAAATTTTAATGTAAGTCATGAATCACTTAAACTTATTCATCCATCCCTAATTAACATGAAAAGTATGAGTAACAAGGGCTTCTTTTGTTTTGCTTTTATACAAGCAGGAGAATGAGGCACCTGAACAGAGATATATATGAGACAACAATTTTAACTCTGCTCATGTCAGAATGGTTCAGACATTTAGATCACAACACAGAAAAACCAACAAAATGCTAAAAAGACCTCATCCTAGCTCTCTGAGAACAAAAATTCTGACAACTTGATTTGGAGTTGGCTATTAAGAGCATCAAGTCTTGTAAAAAGAAAAGGAAGTATCTGCATACACAACAAAAACAACCCCACACACATTTAAAAGAAGTTGTCCCCCACATCTCTCAAAGAGAGAACAGATAATGTTCAAACTGCACACTATTTTACTAAATTCTTCTCTTTTTGACCATTTATTGGCACTGTTAGCCAAATTTTCTTACAAAGGTATTCAACTGTAAAATTATTTTTCGTTAGATCTCAACCACAAACTCAGCCAATAAAGTGCATTGAAGAGTCACTGACTTTGCCGTCACTAACAAGGACTGTATGCCTTACAAATTGTAATAGGTATTTACATGATCTTGCATACTTTGGATGATATGTTACCATATCATCATTCTTTACCTGTATTTTTGCTGATTTTATTTCTCTAGTACTTCTCATCAGATTAACAGTTTCCCTTTCTATTTCAGTAGCATAGAAATATTCTGTTCTCAGAAAAAAAAAAGCTTTCTTTTTCCTCCTTAGCTTAGTTTTTTTCCTCCTTATTGTAGGATGTGCGTATTATTAAAAGTACTTGCTGCGGTAAGATTACTCATTCACTTTCTGCACATTTTTGGTGAACCTGTGTACCTCAGAGCCTGCATCTGTCACTGGGGACAGTGCAGAAGCACTTGCTGAGCTCTACAGCTCTGCAAGGAGGAAGAGGACCTGGCATCCTGAATAGCAATAGCTCTAAAGACCATTGCTGAAAAATGGCACAATCATCAGAGATGGGCGCATGGCAGAAGCAGTGCTGAGAGCACTGCTACCACAGACGCAAGTAACAGGTTTATTCATAGCACTGCTTTTCCCCGGGGAATGGCGTCTTGCGAGTGACTTCATTAACTGCTGACAGCAGACAGACTGCGCTGTGCTGGGAGTGAAAGGGAAACACTCATCAGATGGCCACAGCCACAACTGAGGAAACTCACAGAAGAGATAACTGGCAAGCGTGGTGCTTTCCTCACTGTTCAGAAGAAGTTAGTCATATCCCCAAATGTAATGATTTATTCCTTTCCTTTCTGTAGGGCAATGTTCTTGTGCACAGACTTGCTTTTTGCACAAAGGGTGCTGTTCACTGGGCTCTTGGAAACTTCCCAGGCTGCGGAAGGTGGGGTCTGAATTCCAGATTGGTTGCTAATTGTAAGGAAAACCCCTAAATATATTGGTGGTGTTACTTTTAATAGTCAGAAGACACCTAGCAAACCTATCATTCACTGCTGTCCTGTGTTTGACCTCCCACAAGACATGCAATAAAGCTTCCCTCACTGCATGGCCAGCAGGATGCGTACTGTCTTTGGTGTCTCCAGTGCGTTTACTCACAGAAACAGGGTTGCACAGCCCAAATGACCTATATCCTTACAGCCAGGGATCCCCACTCCCACCCTAAGCTTAAAAACATCCATCCCCACTGAACCAACCTGAGGATGTTTGCCTGCAGGTGCTCTCCATACTCTAAAGATCATACTAAGAGCTGAACAGCTGATAGCTGAAACACAAGGGTTTTGTACACGTAATTGCTTCTTTCTTCGCTCCAAAAATACATGGAAAACCACATTTCCTTACCTGCTGGTCCCCAGTATGCATGAGCATCTTTCAGGTGCAGAGCAAACTCTCCAATGTTTCAGCTGCCCTTGCGCTGCAGCTCCGCTTTCCTTTGGATCACAGGGAACTTCTCTTTCTCCTCATGGCAGCTGCCTTGCTCCTTGCCAGCCCTGAAGCCAAGCCTCCTTGTTTAAAAGCACACCACCATCACACTTCCATTTTCTCTGTGAATTATCCAGGCTCACTGGGCATCTGTGTTTCAAGCATTAATACCTTGATTATTGACTCTCTTCAGCACAGTTTTTTACTCTCCAAACCCTATCTCCACCAGAAAGTTTCAAGAAATCTGGCCTAAAATGCCAGTGAAAAGTCCTATTCTTCCCAGAGGAAACACTAATAGTCCTTCATAATCAAGCAGGCTATTTATAGGAATGGTGACAGTGTGTCTAACCCCACAGTACAATGAGCATGAGGCAGTCCACACAAGACATGATGATAGGGGCTGTTCATAAAATCAAGTGGAAATTCATGTGCTGTATGTCAATAGTGATTTAAGTAATCATTTTCTTTCCCCACACAGCACAATGTCACTTAATCCATTATTTTTAAGAATAACATTGAAGCTATTCTGATTTCTGAAATGTTTATATTCACTATAATCCTAATCCGCTCTCTTTCTGCATTGCAGTGCTTCCACCTCTTATGCAATTGCTTTTTAGCTGAGATCACACACACTTTCTGAAGGTGTTTCTTCCCCATAAACTGCATTGCAGGTTTATCTTAAGACACAGAACTAGTCCCTTTGATCTGAGTAGCAGAATACAATTAGTTTGGGATAAAAAACAGATGAATCCCAGACAAGCCCCAGACAAAACCAGAAGTGGCAGGGAGGCAGAATTACCTTAGGAAATAAGCAAGGAAGCATCAGTACCAGCTGGGTTGTGAATCAGAGCAGGAAACAGATACAACACTCTCTTCTAAGGTACCAAGTGGGAAGCTGGCATGAAAAGCAGAAGCATCCTAGTATATATATTGTTTCCCTGAGCAGGAGATGAGGAGCTGGGAAAACACTGTAAGAAAATGGGAAACAGAGAGAAAGCAGGCAGGGATGAGATGTACGGTTAGGGATGCACATAGTAGATGACTGGAAAAACCTGAGAAGAGGAAGGGAAAGGGGCATTACGTGGAGCAGGGCTGGGAGCTGCAGTGCCTGGGGCACCCTGTGGTGGCATAGGGGGGTCAGCATTGCAATGGCTTCTTTGCCACAGCCAGGGTGCCTTGCTACAGGGGCAGAGGAGCCCCACTCTGGGAAACCCTCACCAACAGTACTGCCACTCTCCCTCTACCTACAGTAACAAATCAAGCCACCACCCCATCTCTGTGAGACTCAAGTAGGAAGATAACAACTGGCTCATGCTCCACCCTCCCTCATCACATCCGTCCCGCCCTGCCTGGGGCACAGCACTTTGGACTGATGCACGCAGGCCGGGAGGCAATGGGGCTCTGCTCTGACTCGCCCTGTGCTGCAAGTACATGGGTGTGCTGCTGCAATATAAACACCCGTTATTGCCCTCTCCCCTCCCTGCCTCCAAAGGAATGAAGTCCTTCAGCAGACTTCACTTGCGTTGTGCCCGTGGGTGACCCACCAGCAGCTAGTGGCACAGCTGTGGTGTTCCCGGGAGGGTGAGTGATGTAGGGTGTTGCAGGGCACCCCCATAGACCTGTGCCCCACTCTAGCTCTGTTCAGCCTGTCCCTGTCCTGAGCCGCTCTTAGATGGGGCCAGCTGAGATGCAATGTGGCACTTGGTCAGAACCATGCCTGGAGAGCAGACCCCAGGAAGGTACACCATAGGGACTGCCGGAGGTTACTTTTATAATGTCAGTGTCACCAGTGCCTGCATCCGCTTTTTGACAGAAAGTTGCCATGGGCTGGAGATGGTTCTGTGTTCAGTCCAGCCCCTCTGGGGTGTGAAAAGACAGTGGTAGAAGGCAATTTCCTCCAAGAGCATCCAAGCTGTGGAGGTGTTTCAGAGTGAAGGGGAACAAACAACAAGCAGAAGAGCTTCAAGGAGCTGGGCATGGACCCGAAGTGGAATTGATAGGAGAGACAGCCAGGTCAGAATAGGAGTATGAAGTTGTACTGTAAGAGCCTCTTAGAATTGGATGTGAAAACTAGCAGAGGACAAATTCTACTCTGAAGGAACAGTAACACTTGCTCCCCCTTATAAACCCACATCATGGTTTTTCTTTAATATGTTCTTGGAAGCTAATTAGGGCTTAAAGTTGTATATTGGCAGTTGGTTAAGAGGCCAGAAGAACATGGATGTGGAAGGATGCAGCAAGAAAGCACACCATAATCCCCTATCCAGGAGCTGTGTGCACTTCCCTGCTCTCCCCCATTTCTGGCTGTCAGTTGCACTTAGCCAGATACTGTGAGTTATAAATCACCTTGGCAAGACGTGAGTCACCAAGCAGAGCGTCTTCCATGTGCGGAAAGAACAAAAAGCTGCTCGCCACAGCCTGGGGGCGTGAAATAAGGAGGGGCCGAGCCATCCCACAGACTGAGTGAGACCCAGGGTGATAGCAGCACTGTAAACCTCCCAAACCCAGCAGTCCACCTCCATGTAACAGGTACTAATGTGCCTTTATATGTATTTACATAATACAAATCATAAAGACCCTTTTCCTGTGCTTTTAACATCAATGTGGCACGAGGACTGTGGCACACTAGGGAATTCTGTAACATCACCTTAAAAATGGAATTTAAAAGTCTACAGAATGACTTTCTAATGAGAATTAGGAATAAAACTTCTCAAATGATTTTAGGGCCATGGTCAGTACAGTGGAAAATTACAATATGCCATTATGATCTTTTTAGCATAAAAGTACTGTTAATTTACCAAAAGATATTGGACCAAACCCCGCAGATACCGTATAAGTTACTAGATATGAGAAGGTTTCTTTGTTTGGTTTTAATATTTTTATTTACTTAAATAACTGTAGTTTCTTCCTAAGTGCAGCTTGCTAAATTTTCCTTTCAGTAGAGTGAGTCTAGCTGAAGTAAGTTTCACTACATTATTCTTTCACTTTCTTTTTTAATCTGATGATTCAAGGACAGGTATGCAGACTCTGACCAGCCAGTATGCCAGATACATGCTTGGGAGGACAGAATATCCTCTTTTCTCATTAGTTTTCATACGGGGACTACACACATGCGACCTCAGGTTGACAGTACGTTGTTGCGGCACTTACCTTTGGTGCACCGATTCAATACTGAGGTTGCTGGAAATGATAATTGTGAGCTGTACTCATCCCGTGGGTGGCATCTGCTTTTCCTTTTTGGAGGTAGTATCGCATAAACAATGAAGTGAGCTGAATTTAGACTTTGATACATAGACTTGCCATCTAATTGGTGGGACTGAGCCTAGATTAAAAACCATACAGACATTAACAGAATAGTGTGATTAATGGCTCTGGGGAAATAATTTTTAGAGCTGTCTCGGTAGCAGTACCTGAGAAAGCATTTAAGGGTTTTGGGGTTTAATTATATAAAAAATACACATGAAAAGAAAAAGACTGTATTCTCTTCTGTACTGGGTTTGCCCATCACACCTTCCAATAGAGATGGTTGGATTTTGCCTTTGATTCCTGGAGGAACACACTGCTAATAACTAGAACCAAGTTTGTCCTTAGTTATGTATCCCAGGGAAAAAGATTACCCAGGCTTTTTGCAGTGCTAGCAACCTATTACTGTATTTTTGCTGTTTATTTGTATAGGCAGAGACATAAAAATTAATTTCCTTTTTAAATGAAGATCTGAGCCTGGATTCAGCCCATATTTAGGTCTGTAACTTCTAATCCTGTTGATTGATTTTATTTCCTCAGTAATCCATAAAGATCAAGAATGGTGGAAAAGAGGGAAAGAGGATGTTTGCTAAACACAACTATATGTGCCTTAATACACAGACAGTAAGACCAGAAAATATTTTTCTTGTAATTAAATGGAGTCACTCCACACCCCCCACACCCCCCCCCAATTCACTGCTTTTCTTCAGAGCAAATATTTATGTGTAATACACACTTTCCTGAACAAGGTAAAGATTGCAGCTGGAAGAACAGTGGTGGTAAAGCAGAGGAGCTGATATGCAATGGACAAATTACATGTAAAATTAATATTGTCAAACTAGGTGAGATCGCTGCTTATGACAGCCCACCTTACTGACCATACTGAAATTCCCTAGATGCACCCCTGAGAATTAAAACTGCTTGCCATAAAAAGTCTAGATATAGAAGCCCAACAAATCCCATGTGAGAACACCATCGGAGAATGGAGGATAAATTCATGTTTACCCCTGCCGTTCAAAATCAAGCAACTGAAGTACCTGAATATTTTATGGGACAAATTCTTCTGATGTATATTTATTGAAGATAGCCAGAAATTCCTGAAGATATTTACTTAATCTATGGCTAAAACTGTGGGTCAAACTAGTGTTAAGTCTTACAACACTTCAGATGATGATGGGCAAATATTACCTGTACTTAATTTGTAGATACAAAAGATGTTTGAGGTGGTAGTAGAAGCAGTATACTTGTTACTTTTATTACAGTATCACCTCAATCAGAAATAGAACTTTGTGGTAGAAATTGCACAACTATCATTAGATACAATTCATACCTGGAAAATCAACACAAGTTAATTAATTCCACAGCAAGAGAGGCACATTTTGGGGTGCATACTGTTCCTAGAAACAAGGCAGTGGGGATGGACTCAAAGAGTGATGGAGTAAACAGCAGCACAAGAAAGTGTGGACTAGCACAAGAGAGTATGGCCTGAGGAAATGCTACTGGAGTGAACAGACTTCTGGTCTTTGGTAAGGGACTGCTAGGCAGTGTGCTGGGGAGGCATGCAGGCACTATTAAGGGTCTGCCTCAGACCAAGTCCAGTGTCATAAATTACGGTTCAGAACAGAATCTAGTATTAAATATATGTAGCTTTATTTTGTCAGCCTGAGTGGAGTGAAACGTAATGCAGTGTTAATAGTCTCAAAGTATTAATAATCAAAATTTAGATCAGTCAAACTATAATTTTAATAATTATTAAACCAGTTAACTATTGTACCACACAGTGAACAATTACAGGTGTTCTGTGAGACTGAATTCTTAGCAGACACCACCCATCATTGCAGTACAATTTCAGAATTGCTTTTTTAAAGCATTCTTAATGAAAATGAATAACTGAAAAAGCCAGAATGTGGTTTAGGCTGCATAAATAGACCTTCATTCATGTTTAAAAAATAAAAGATATTGAGGTGATGCATAGTTACAGCAACCCTGACAAAACAGC